GTGGGTTACGATGAGTCTTCTGGTCAATCTGTTTAGTTATGGCAAGAGGCGGCCAGGCTTCCTTATGACTTGGTTGTTTGTAAACTGTGCTCTCTGGATCTCGATTCCTTCCCACCACCCAGAAGCAAACTCTGGCTTCTGTGATTTCTGCTGTCTCACACCCCATTTCTTACCAGTTAGTGTGGAAACTTCCCAAGGGCAAAGGACCAAGTTGTTTTTTTTTTTTTTTTTTTTTTTAATAGAACCAGGAGATGCTCGCTTACCTGGTTTCGACTCTGCCACCTACTGGCTGTATGACCAGAAACAAATAGCCTAACCTCTGTGTTTCGGGCACTTTAAAAGAGTCTAGGAAGAAAGAACAAGACCTTCCTTGTATTGTCAGGAGGATGGGAGAAGATGATGCCTAGGAGGGTTTGGCCAGGTAGGATGGAGAGTTCAGTGAAGTGGGGAATTTTAACTCAGCCGCCCCACAGATATTGAATGTTTGGGGGTCAGAAGTGAGGCAAGTGCTGTTTCAGGCAAGAGGGTTCCCAGGGGCCTTGTTCTGATCCACACTGATGTGGGTGGCCTGGCCTGACAAGGTCCCCATCTCTGCCCTTGCAGGCTTTTGTTTCAGAGGAGAGAACATGGAACTGTACTGTGGCAAATGATACTGAAATGAGGATGCTCGGAGTGCTCCCAGGAGAGAGAGGAGGATGGCGGGGACAGGTGTACGTCTAACAGGTCAGAGTCACTTCTTCCTGAGTGACTTCCTGCAGCTACAGAACCTTGAGGTTGGGCATCTGGGTCCTGCCTTCCTCCTTTCCTCTCTTGTCCCTACATCCCAGGGAATCCGAACCTGGCAGTTTAGTAGGGTGGAGGCCACAGCGCCACAGGCCTGCACAGCTGGGCCCCACTGCACGCACCCTCTAGTGGCTACAAGGTGTGGCAAGCACTAAGTTGGATGGGCCCTGAGAAGGAGCAGTCAATCCTTCAGCACAGAGTGCTGATCTAAGGCTTACTGTCATTTAATGTCGGCAGCTGCCCCTACTGTGATTCCTATTCCCATTTTACAGTGGGTAGATAACCCACACTTACCAAGTGGAGAAGTACAGTAGCATCAGGCCTACCAGACTCTGGCCGCAGTGCAGGGATGTCCTCCCTAGACACTGTCCCCACCCTACATCTCCCAGTGAGCAAGTGCCAAGAAGCTAAATTTTGCTTAAGTTAGCAGCCCCCTTACGTATTCCTTTATTTGATTATTTATTTAGTGTATGTTTACGGTATGTGTGTTGTGGGTGTGTACATATGTGAGGCCAGAGGTTGACATTGGGCGTCTTCTTGATCACTCTCCACCTTATTTTTTTTGAGACAGGGTCTCTCGCTGAACCCAGAGCTCATCCATTCAGCCAGGCTGGCTGGTCAGAGAGCTCCGGGCATCTGCCCCTCTCTGGCCCGGTCTCCCCAATTCTGGGTTGCAGACCAGCACAGCTGTGCCTGGCTTTTTACATGGACCACTGGACATCCAAATTCAAGTCATCATGGCAAGCACTTTAGTGCTCTCCAGCCCCTGGTTTAAGGTAGCAGGCTTCTTGAAAGCTTGCTTTAGTCTCTCCTGGTGTACCGCAGGGACTTTGCAGGAAGAGGTGTTTGCGCTAGGAGTAAGGGGCAGGAGGGACAAAAGCCTCAACTCCCAGAATCCTCCAGGGCTGGGGGGTGTGGAACTCTTCTGGAAGTATCCATCCCTACCATGAGGGAGGCTTTTCTGGGTTGTCTACAGGCAGGGAACCCCTCCTTCAGGAGTCTGGGTTCCCATGGTACTCACGCTTCTTTCTTGGCCAAACTGTCTGGGTTCAAGCCCCACCCTGCCAGGAATGACAGCTTGTGTCCAAGGCCTTGTGCTTAGCATTCTGTGTAAGGATGGTTGTCAGCCATCCTCCTCTCCAGAGCATTGTATTAGGGGGTTGTGCCCTCCTAGCACACGTGGATCCAGGCAGCAGGTCTCAGACAGGCAGTACCCTGCACCACATTCGGGGAACCTTCCCCTGAAAGGTATGCTGCTGTGGTAGCACACGGGCACACAACTCTTGCAGCTGTTGGGGTGAGAGCACAGCTCCCCACATGCCCCTCTGGTTTCGGTGTCTCAGTGCTCCCAGTACGATAAATTAAAGGAGCAAGTTTCTGTGCCTCAGTTTCTTTATCCACAGAGAAAATAAAACTGATGAGGGTGAGAGATGTAAGTGAACACAGGCTGGTTAGGCTGGAAACGTCTGCTACCGAGGTAAGGAGCTCAATTATTATTGTAACCCGGATTCAAGGCAACAAATATCTTCATAAAAGAAAACATATTTGGTTTCTTTTTGTATTTTATTTTATTTTGGGGGACTTTTGGAGACAGGGTCTTATGCATCGCCAGGCTGGCTTCCAGTTCAATGTGTAGTCCAGGATAGTCTTGGACTTCTGGTCCACCTTCTAAGTGCTGAGGCTAATGGGCGTGCACAACCCTGTAGGGCTTTCTTTGTATTTTAGGAACCATCACCTTCTTCATGGGTGAGAAACACTAAAAGGCAAGTGCGTGTGGGTGCTGCCCGTCCACTTGCGCGTTGTGTACACTTATTAGTAAGCCAACTATTTCCTAGAATCTTCCTTCTGTGAGGCAGGCATCATCCCCAGCATTTTCAAAGGAGAAACAGTGGTCAGGTCTATTCATATTTCACCTTGGCCAAAAGAGTAAGGGGTGGATGTGACAATCGGTCTTGACGAGTACCTGACTCCAGGTAAGGCTCAGGAAACGATTCTGGGTCTTTTCCTGTAAACAAGGCCCTTCCCCCAGTGCACACCGAGACCTGGCTCTGGGCTTGCACGCCGCGGTCACGACACCAGCCCCAGTGCACGGGTACCCTAAAGGGGGGGCGCCACAAGTCCGCGCCCCATCCTCTGCACCCCGCCTCCCGCGGGGAGCGGCGTCCAGCCCCAGGCCAATGAGAGTAGCGGAATTTCTTTCATTGAGCTCGGGCCCCCGCTCCTGCCCGGAAGGGGGCGTGGCGCTGCGCCGGGGGTGGGGCCGCGGGGCGCCAGGGGAGGGCGGGGCCGGCCCCGCGGCTGAGCCAATCGGCGCCACGCCCGGGAGGGGGAGGGGGAACCAGGCCTTTTTTCCCCTCCGCGCGGGACCAATCCCGACTTTACAAGCTTGAACTTTTGCCACCCTCGGACTAGCAAGCACGCCCGAGGAGGTACCCCGCCGCGCCGGCTCCAGGGCAGGAGCGGCCTTAACCCTTCCGGTGCCGGGCCCCAAAGTCTGTCCCCCGCCCCCCCCCCCGCAACTTGCCCCTGTTTTCATAGTGAAACATAGCTGGGGAAAGCACGCCCTCCACATCCCTCTCGAAGGGGCAGAAAGTAAACCCAAGAAGGGAAAAGGAAGCTCCCGGCCATGAGGGGGGCCTGGGACGCCAGGCAGCCTGGCGGGAGAGCCCAGGCGACCGAGAGGAGCCATCCAAGAGCAAGAGCACTCCCGCCTCTACCCCACCCTGTCCAAGTCCCCACCTCCGGCTATCCTGGAGTCCCTCGATCGAAGTGTTCTCTAATTCTGGGAAGTGGGTACGTGGAGCCTTCGTGGGTCACAGAAGATCCCACTACCCCAACTTCTCAGCCGCCCCCCTGATCCCTCGGAGACGCTGGGCAGGAAGGCGCGCACACACGCCCATTTTTATTAGCCCGCGCTGAGGCTGGGGGTTTGGACCGATTCTAAAGTGCAATGCGTGTTTGCAAGTTTGTGCACAAGCCAGAGAGAGGCAAAGGGCTGCTTTGGACTCCGGGTCGCTGTGGGTTCACCGAGCAGAGCTGGGTAGCAGGGCGTGTGTGTTTGCTTGCGCGTGTACGGGATCGCTCGTATCCGTGCCCAAGGCGCGACGTGAGCTAGAAAGCGAGTCGCGGGCGCTGTAAGCCTCGAGGCGGGGGTGCCGGGGCGGGAGATGGGCGGGGGCCCGAGTTCGTCCCGCCCCGGGAACCAGCCCCCTCGGAGCCTGGGGCTCAGCAATGGGACGTGTTCTCCTTTAAGAGTTAAGAAACTTGAAACCTTGTTTGCGCAACAATCAGCGCCGCGGAGCCGCCAAAGTGTCTAGACTGGCATATGATGGGAGGCAGCCAATGACTCCGCGGCGCTCCTCCGGGGGCCCTCAGTGTGCGTTTGAGGAGAACAAAAAAGAGAGAGGGCGCCGAGCGGGGGAGCGAGCGAGGGAGCCGAGCCCAGAGAAAGAGCCGCCGGGCGCTGCCTCGCCAAACCTCGCTGGGACCGCGGGGCCACCGGGAGGCACTTTGGTGGAGGGGGGAGGGGGGGCGACCTCGGCAGCCGCGGCGCCCGAAGCGACCCAGCACAGCGTGGGGCGGGCTGCGACCTCTGCCTCGGTGGATTGCATTGTTAATTAAGGATTCCTAGCAGCTCTTGGGATTTTTTTTACGGCTCCCACTCATGTGTTGACACCCGCGTTCAGGAGAGATTTGCCCCAAGTGCGCCGAGCGCCCAGGACCTGAGACGGAGTTGCTTTTCGTGCGTGCAAATCCAAGCATTTCGGGTTTTGTTTGGGATCTTTTTCTTGCTTTGCTTTGCTTTTATTTTTATTTTATTTTATTTCATTGCAGGGATCTGGAAGTTATCCACAAGCCTGAGTTTCGGATCCTGCAGGGAAAGCCCATGCAGCGTAGCACTTGGTTTTTGAAGGCAGAGTTGTGCAGACACATTTGGGGGTACAACGCAAGCGCTTTGTGCTCGTGTACCAACCGCGCAACTTTTGAAGGCTCGCCGGCCCATGCGGGGTGTTTCTAGCATCGCTTCGCCCGCGACTCCCCTAAGGCTCCAGAGCGGCTGGAGTTGAGCAGTCCCGGCCCACCGCGGTCCATGTAGCCCGCTGGTCCCGCGCGGACTGCGGCTCGGCGCGCGCGTGTTCCCGGCCCGGCCCGGCGCGAGCTCCCTCATGTTGCAGCCCTGCGGTGCCCCTTCGACGACAGGCTGTGCGCGGTCTGCACGGCGCCCCGCTGCAGAGCTTCATGTGGGGCTGCGGCCCGCGCAGCCGGCGCCTCGTTGAGGGAACGGACCCCCGGTAACCGGAGACCGCCTCCCCTCCCACCACCCCAGGCGCCAAAGGATATCGTATGTTCAGGTCTAAACGCTCGGGGCTGGTGCGGCGACTTTGGCGAAGTCGTGTGGTCCCTGATCGGGAGGAAGGCGGCGGCGGCGGCGGCGGCGGTGGTGGCGACGAGGATGGGAGCCTGGGCAGCCGAGCTGAGCCTGCCCCGCGGGCACGAGAGGGCGGAGGCTGCGGCCGCTCTGAAGTCCGCTCGGTAGCCCCGCGGCGGCCCCGGGACGCGGTGGGACCGCGAGGCGCCCCGATCGCGGGCAGGCGCCGGCGCACGGGGGGCCCCCCGAGGCCGGTGTCGGAGCCAGGGGTCGGAGCTGAGGGCTCCCTGCTGGATGTGGCGGAGCCTGGAGGCCCGGGCTGGCTGCCTGAGAGTGACTGCGAGACGGTGACTTGCTGTCTTTTCTCCGAGCGGGACGCTGCGGGTGCGCCTCGGGACGCCGGCGATCCCCCAGCCGGGCAGTCCCCGGAGCCAGAGGAGGGTGGCGGGCCTCGGAGTCGAGAAGCCCGCTCGAGGCTGCTGCTTCTGGAGCAAGAGCTCAAGACGGTCACGTACTCGCTGCTCAAGAGGCTCAAGGAGCGTTCGCTGGACACGCTGCTGGAGGCGGTGGAGTCCCGCGGCGGCGTGCCGGGCGCCTGCGTGCTGGTGCCGCGCGCGGACCTCCGCCTGGGCGGCCAGCCCGCGCCACCGCAGCTGCTGCTCGGCCGCCTCTTTCGCTGGCCGGACCTGCAGCACGCAGTGGAGCTGAAACCCTTGTGCGGCTGCCACAGCTTCGCCGCCGCCCCCGACGGGCCCACGGTGTGTTGCAACCCCTACCACTTCAGCCGGCTCTGCGGGCCAGGTGAGCGCGCGCGCACGGGGTCGCCTCGACCTATGCCTTTATCTTCTTATCCTTTTCTGTGGCCACCTCTTTGTGGATGCTCTCGGGATACTCCCCGGTACTGGGAGCCTGCAGTGGGTTGAGGAAAGCTGAGGGGTAGGTGTTTCAAACGGTAACTTTACTTGTAGCGCCAGCGAATTTAGAAAGGGGCACGTTCGGGTTTCTGTATGCAGCTTCTGGGACTTAAAGTAGATTTCAGCTTTGTGAAACGGGATAGCAAGCCATGAAGAGGCCAAAGGAGTAGACGACATCTCCCTTTTGGGGGTTTCACCCCAGTCGGTAATCAGCTTCTAGCATTTGTGTGTATATTCCTGTACACCAGCTGTGTGCTTTTCTGCATATTCCTATACACCCCAGGTCGGTATGGCTGTGAAACTGTTTGCAGGCAACTCGTGCCCAGCGTCAAAAGTGTGTGCAAAATGTTCCACTTGTCCCTTTCTATGCTCTGAGCCCAGATTTCTGCAGGGCAATCTCTCGTTTCCAGCATCCTTTGGGCGTGGAATGCCAGGCTCCTCCATCATCATGGCTCTTAATTCTTGCCTTCAGCTTACCTCTAGAGTTGAGGGTCCTAGGGCACCTGAGAGTCAGAGGCTGCCAGCTCTTTTGTTACTAGCCTCTTTGTTCTCTTGGGATCTTCCGCACACACCCTACCAGCCTTGCTTACCTAGGCAGGCTCAGGTGCAGGAGCAGAGGTGAGGATAGATGAAGGCCCCTCATGGGCCCGGAGCTCACACACACACACACACACACACACACACACACACACACACACACACACGTTTTCTGTACCACAGGAAACACTCACCATAGGTGTAGGGGAATACATTCAAGGCATTGGAGGCTTTGCAGGGGAGAATTGGACAGGTAGTTCCAGACTTGTTGGCTCTGGTCAGTTCTTAGGTCTCCTGACTCAGTGTGGTAAGAGAACATGGACTCAGGAAGCTTGGCTTCTCCCTGTGTGTAGACGAGGGCCTAGTGGGATGAAGAGAAGAAAGTTTTCTCCCTTTACTGTGGTTCCTGATGTGCCTCCCTCGTGGTCAGTCTCTCCAGGCTCGAGGTAGACTTTGGGTAGTCCCTGGCTTTCTGTGCCTGGAGGCTGACAGCTGCTTCCCCTGGAGGAAACTGCAGCCTCGTCTCTGGGGAGGAGGACCCTATTGCCTCCTCTCTTTTTTTTTTCCTAGTAGGAGATGGATGGTGGGGCCCACGACACTCTTCCATAGGGCCCTAGTGGATTTTTTTTTCCTGTGACCAAGTCACAGTACTAACAAGTTGGTTGAGCATTTACTCTGTACCAGGTACTGAATGTGTATATGTGGTGTGCGTGTGTAAGAGAGAGAGAGAGAGAGAGAGAGAGAGAGAGAGAGAGAGAGAGAGAGAGAGATGGATTCATGCTGTCAAGAAATCCTCCTGGGAGGTGGGAAGAAGTGAGAAGGAGGTAAGGGGGTGGGGCTAGGTCAGTGGTCTGAGCCACGGAGGGCTGTGGGTGTGTCTGTAACTGGATCACCTCTGGGAGTGCCGCGCCTTTAACCTGGAGCAGCCTCCGAGGAGGGGGTGGGCCTAAAGAGGGCTTACTCAGGTGGGTGGACCGGATAAGGAGGAGCAAAAAGCTGGAGGCCTTAGGACCGGACCCCACTCAGTTCCTGCTCTTTGCACTCAGAATTGGCCCTGCGTGGCCAGGGAGAAGTTGAGCGGGACCTGATGAACTATAGAATCTGGACCTAGGCTCTGTCCAGACAGTGACCTTGGATGAGTGTGTATGTGTGGGAGGGCTCTAGAGACATTTCAATTCTACTGAGTATTAGAACTTAATTCCCTGCTTCCCTCAAGAGGCCCTTCCCCCTGGGGGTTGGGGAAAGGCATGCACTACAAATCTATTCCCGGCCTCTTCTGGCCACGAACCTAGGAGGGCCCTAGTCGGCCAGCTGGGGGCACCTCTGAGGACTGTGGTTGTGGGAAAGAAGCAAGAGTTTCCAGTATGCCCGGTTGACCCTCTTGCCTTCTCTGGGAGTGGGGACTGGGGAAGCCCTTTGCTGTGCACTCCGCCCCCGGGGCTGGCCGCCAGCCTGGCTCCTCGAAATGGGCGGGCACATAGCTGGGGTTCAGCCGAGCGCGTCCTGATAAGGAGACCGCTCCTCCCAACTTTCCAGCTCAGGGAAAAGAGCTGGGGCATGGGGCAAGCAGGCAGGCAGGCAGGCAGACAGACAGACAGACTGTCTGATCGCGCACACAACGAGAGCAAAGTGCATGGGAACACCCAGCATCAGTCAGTCTTTCGTGCATAGCCTCCACCCCCGAGGACTCCCGGTGTCAAGACATGTGGGAAGTACGGTCCCCTTCTTTTCTGAGCCTGGCTTCCTCTCATCTGTAAAGTTCTGGGTTGGCCTGAACAACTGAAGAGGTGACAGGTTCCAGGCCCCATGGGCTTTGTCTTAGAAACTGGTGTCCTGAACACCAGGCTCCGTGCGGGACAGAGTCTGGAGGCCTGTGGGAGCGATCTTTCCTGGGCCTTTCTGGTTAGGACTAAAGGCGGCGCTGAGCTTAGTGGGTTGCCTATGTGGACGGAAATGTGGAGAAATACTTTAATCACAGCTCTGACCTGTTTATAGAGTTCCTTTCTCCTGCAAGTATCCATTAACTCTGGAATGAATCCCCTGCTCTTTGCTTCCCTACTTTTTTTTTTTTCTGTAATTATATTCAGTAAATTACTATTATCCAAATTGTGCCCGGGAAAGAGAGAGAGAGAACTTCTAAAGGGCTGGAGGAGGCTGCTTAGGAAAACACAGGGTTCCCAGGCCAGGCCTGGAGGAATTAGAATGGGCTAGAAAGTTTTTCCTTTTTATTTGGCCTGGCATTATCCCTTTGAAATGAGATCAATTTCAAGTTGGGCTTCCCGGGCCCCGCCCCGCCCCCTCGCGGCCCCTCGGCCTGTCTGTCTGCTCCCCGCTCCTCTCTTGGAGGTGAGGAAGCCGTGATAATGCCCAGTTTGCCTCTTGCTGGCGCCAGCCGGCTGCGCTGTTTATCTGGCTGCTGGGGGAATCTGGGCAGTTAGGCTCCTTGGCCTTAAAGCGCCAGGAGCTCCTTTTCTGGCCTCCCGATGATCCTCAGGCTTGGGGTTGGAGCCTTTAGGTCCTGAGGGAAGAAGAAACGGGTACCCAGGAGGCCCCCTCCCCGCCCGCCCACCCGCCAGCCCGCCTGTCACCACCCCTGGGGAGGGAGAGAAGTCGGAGGCCCAGGCAAACACGTGGATCTTGTCCTACAGCGAAGAAGAGCCGTCCTGCAAAGATGGCTGGGAAGTGATGGAAACTCCGGCCAGGCTCAGAGAGAGGCTGTGAACTTTGTTCTGGCCTCACATGGAGGTCTGGATCGCAGAAGGCTAGGGTAGCCCCTGAGGGCTGACCAGAGAGGGGCTGGACTGGGCTGATTGATGGATGCTGTTGGCTCCTGACTGACTACTCAGCCTTTGGAGGAAGTTGGGGGATTCTTTTAGTCCATGCCTAGGGCTGGAGGTCTGAGGGGCTTGGAGTTTCTGAGGTCTTTCTCTTTTTCTCTCAGAGGATCCTGCAGAGACTGAAAGTGTTCTGTTAGAGTTTACAGTGTGTAAATTACTTCCACATCAACATAACTCTTAACAAGAGCTAGGATAGAATCTTCTAGAAAGTGGATGGAGAGCTAGGGGTCAACTTGAAGATTCTCTTCTGATCCTATGTCTTAACCCAGTGGAGGGCTCGCCTAACCTGCCTGAGTTAAGTGTCCTGTGGTTCCATTTTCTTAAATCCTGGAGGCTGTATGGGAGGGGAGTGGGAACATGACGGGTAAGAATTACTGGTATTGTTCCCAGCACATCATTCATAACAGCAAAATGTGGAACCGACCCAGATGTCCATTAGCTGGTGGATGGATAAACAAAGTGTGGTGCAGCCACACAATGGAATATCATCCAGCCATAAAGAAGGGTGAAGTGCTCATCCTTGCCAAGGCCTGGATGAACCTGGAGAATGTTGTGCTGAGTGAAGGAAACAGACACAAAAGGCTCTGTAGCGTATGATTTCATGGACATGAAACTTTCCAAATAGGCAAATCCGTAGAGACAAAAGTAGATTAGTGGTTGCCTGGGGTTTGGGGTTGGAATATAGGAAGTGGTTGCTAATGAGGACAGGCTTTCTTTTTGTGGTGGTGAAAATGTCCTATAATTAATTAGATCATGGCGATGGTCACACAACTCTTGGAATGTACCCCAAACAACTAAATTGTGTACTTTAAAGGGGTGAATCTTGTGATCTGTGAGTTTCTCCCCCCTCCCCTAAGATTGCCTGGTGTTGGTCTCCAACAGCAATTCAAGGGCTTGTGTGGCTGCCTTCCAGCATGGCCTTGGGCGGGTCCTTTACTGGCTAGATATCAGGTGCCCCATCGATTAAAAAAAGGAGTTGAGAGCTTTTGTTGGTGGTGCGTGCCTGGAATCCCAGTGCTCAGGAGGCAGAGGCAGGAAGATGCATGATGCCTTTGAGGCTAGCTTGAGCTATGTGCTGAGACCCTGTTTTAGAGCCAAAATAAATGAAAGTTAAATTAAAAAAGAGTTGTTTGGTGAAGCCCCAACCCCTTTGACCTCTGACATGCTAGAGCTCTGTATTCTAGGCTGGTGACTATAAGCTTCTTTTTACTTTCTAGAAGGATCTGTGGTTAGATGAAGTCCCTCCTAGAAGCTTAGCTGGTCTTTCCCTGGCTGCATGTCTGCACTTCTGGCTTGTCTGTTTTCTGTCTGTCTCACTGATGATGTTAGGAGCCTCTACCTCAGGTGTGACTGTGGGTAGTGGGTGCTTCGGAAGGAGGAACGTCGTTAGTACTTTAAAATCTCTGTAAGAGACAGTGGGGCTGGCCAGGGATATGCCTGTAATATGATCAGGAGGCAGAGACAAGAGGTTTAGTAGTTCAGGGTCATCCTTGGTTATATACTGAAATTCAGGGCCAACCTGGGCTATATGAAACACTCTTTCAAAAAACTCAGAGAAAGGTAGGGTGGAGAAGGCTGGGATTGGTTAACCGTTGTATGTCACACTCTAGCTACCACCTCTGTTGCTGGAGACAGGTGTGGGGGCAGATGTCTAGCTGTGTCCTGGGTTTCAGGGGCTGTAAAAGAGGGTGTGTACCAGACATGGTTCTGGTTCTGGCTCCACAGCCAGTTCCCCAGGGAGTCACTTCCACTCACCAGGCCTCAAGTCTCCTCCGTGCCGTGGGAACCCAGGCTCAGTCCCCTCTCCCTCAGAGCCCCAGGCCTTTCCATGCTGGGCCACTGGACCTCTCTTAGGTTTGGCCTCTGGGCTGAGGACGAATGCAAGTAGCTCTTACTAAAAGTGTATAGTCTTCCTCCCTGTGTCCTGTTTGAGGTCACTGGTAGGTACCTTTGGCTCTCCAATCCTTCCTCCCATTCTTTTGTCTTTGCCTGGAAACATGAGTCAACACTGGGTGCAGAGGGGCCCTTTGGAACAATGAGGCTGAAGTCAAGCCTGGGTGCAAATCTCAGCTCTGCCGGGATGGTCTTGGGTGGCAGGAGGCAATCAGTTTCCTCATCTGCAAGATGGGAATGTGGATACCATCTTAGGTATTTTATTTTATTTTTTTTATTTTTATTTATTTATTTTTTTTTTTGGTTTTTTGAGACAGGGTTTCTCTGTGTAGCTTTGCGCCTTTCCTGGGACTCACTTGGTAGTCCAGGCTGGCCTCGAACTCACAGAGATCCGCCTGGCTCTGCCTCCCGAGTGCTGGGATTAAAGGCGTGCGCCACCACCGCCCGGCCAGGTATTTTATTTTTTATCTCTGAGAAAAGATTAAATTGAAGCAGGTGTCCGACGAGCGTGATTAACCTTCGTGTTCTCGAGGGCTATAAGAATGAGAGATGGGGCTGGATAGTTGGCTCAGCAGCTGAGCACTGGCTGTTCTTCCAGAGGACCCCGGTTCAAGTCCCAGCACCCACATGGCAGCTCACAAGTGTCTGTAACTCTAGTTCCAGGACTTGTGACACCCTCACACAGACATACATGCAGACAGAATACCAATGCACATATGAATAAATAAATCTAAAAAAAAAAAAACCCCAAAAAACAATTAGAGACAATAGAGAGACTTCAAAGCACCTGGCACAGAGTGAATGTTCAGATCCCTTCAGTGTCTTTGCCCTATTTGACCTCTCCTGTGACCCCTGTCCACAGAGCGTCCCTGCTCTAGACTCAGAGCCTTGACTCTGAGGAAGCCACTTCTGGCTGCAGAGGACAGGTTGGCAGGAGAGGGAGGCCTCCTTTGGGTGTCTGAAACGCACATAACTAATGCTCCTCTAACTAATGGTGCCTTATTATAATTGCGAAAACACTCATTACCCCCGTGTCGTTCCTGATACCCACCTAATAATAGTTATTACCCCTTTATTACTGTGGAGTCTGCTTTAGCTTGCGATCTGATGGGGTTCAGTTTCATTTACGGAAAATGGAGGGTCATTTCATTCACCCAGATTGTTACTTAGTTTAGCAAATTGTTACTTCCCGGTAAAGCAAGAGCCGAAGAAATTCCTCTGAAGGCAAAGTGTATGTTTTGAAGGAGGAGTATTTTCGGCAAATGAAAGGCGGCCGGAAGGAAAACATAGACAATCAGGAATCGAGAATCTGAGCCGGAAAGCTGGGACCCACCTCTGGCCTTTCTTTACCAAAACACGAGAGACTGATGCCAGAGTCTGGAAGTAACTGGCTTAGAATGTGAAGGCATCCAGGGTCCCAGCAGCCACCCAGGAATGGTGGTTCTAATGTGGATTAAATACTTTTTAAAATTTATTATTGCTGTCATGTATGTCGTGGGGGGGGTGCAGACATGGCATGAAACACATGTGAAGGCCAGAAGATGACTTGAGGCCGTCTCTTCTCCCTTCCACCAGGTGGGTTCTGGGGATCAAACTCGGGTCCTTAATCTTGGCCGCAAGCTTCTTTACATGCTGAGCCATCTCACCAGCCCCCTCCCCGCCCTTTTTTCCTCCCAACCACGTTTCCATGTGTGGCCCTTCTGAACTCTGATTTGGCTTGTTGAACTTAGCAAATAAAAATTTAGGATGCCCATTCAGTTTTCATTTCACACAAGCAACACAAAATTTCAGCATAAGTATATCCCAGATATCATAAGGCCTGTGCTTATACTCAGAGACCATACTCGGTGTTTAGCCCAAATGCAAACAGAACTGAGCCTCCTTGTATATCATCTGGCAGCCCGAGCACGGACTTCTGCCTTGTGTTTTTCTAGTTGTGATGATAATAAAGGTGCTGTTTATGGGAGTGTGACCAAGAGCTGTGCTAAGCATTTTGCATATGCTATCTTTTGCCCTCCTGGCAAAACCAAGAGGTCTATGATTATCACCCCTGTTTTATAGTTGAGGAAATCATCTTAGCAAGGCGAGGGAACTCTCTGGAACTCCCAAAGCATCGGTGGCATAAGTAGGGGCTGAGCCCCAGGGAGCCGTAGAGATGGTGGGCGACATGGAAAACATCCTGGGGTCAGAGGTTATTATTTGCGGAAACTAATAGTTAAAAGCACGTGGAACACCAGGTGTGACATGCTGTATCCTGTCTTCCAGAATCACCGCCACCCCCCTATTCTCGGCTGTCTCCTCGTGACCAGTACAAGCCACTGGGTAAGTGTGCCCTCCCCTGGAGGGGTGGGCTGAATTGGGTGCGTTCAAACGGGGTGAAGTTTTACAAACACTCCCACGTTGGGCTGCTGCGGAGAGACTATTTACATCTTCAAATTCCAGGCTTCTCGTTAACCTCTCCATGACCTTTAAACATGGGCCTGTGGGAGATGAATGGGTTCTGACTTCAGCTGCTCTTTGGAGGTGGGTTGGAATTTCTGGGTCTCTTTCCCTTCCTTCCTCCCCCAGCCTTGAGTTACTGTCCACCAGTGTGTTAATTGGGAGTGTGACAGGCAGATAGGGCATGGAGTCTTTGTTGAGCTGTATCTGTCCTTGTCTCCTACCTGGACAGGTCGCCAGGTGGCTTGGCTGTCTCCGAGGGAACTTAGTGGAGTGGGTGTGTCATTTCAGATAAGTCCTATGCAATGGCAAGATGGATTTTCTCTACAACCTTGGGGCTAAGTGTCAGCTCATTATCTGGGGTGCACACATACAATTTTGAAAGCAGATGAGGGCCTAAAGAGATGGCTCATGGGTTGAGAGCAATTTGCTGCTCTTGCAGAGGATCTGGGTTCAGTTCCCAGCTCCTACTCTAGGTGGTTCCCAACTGCCTGTATCTCCAGCTCCAGGGAATCCAGTGCCCTCTTCTGGCCTCTAAGGGCACTTGCTTGCACGTGATGCATGTGCATACACTCATGCTCGCGCGCGCACACACATACACACACACACACACACACACACACACACACACACACACACACACAATAACTAACTAACTAAATATTTAAAAGCAGAGATGCCCTAGGTCCTGGGCTCTCCTCAGTGGATTTAGAGTAGTGATGTAGTCTGCAGAGTTCCAGTAGCAGGTGAGCTGGCCTGAAGAGTTCCAACAAAGCAACTTTGTCACCAGCAGTCACTGTGAGGCCCAGGCCTCCGAAGTCCATTGGCATGGTGTGGGTGCTAGAACATTGCCAACTGACCACCAAGAATAAGTTTATGATAGAAGCATCCTCTCTGGAGTGTGTGATCTCTGGCTGGAGGGTCACCTTCAGGGTCATGGACTCAGGGGTCACCCCAGGTTCCTTCCAGCCCTTCATTCCCAGTGAGGTCAGAAATATACCCACCCCAGAGTTGCTTGAGGAGTTTGATCCGTGGCCAGTGGGGCGAGGGCTGTCCCTCAGGGGTGTGGGAGGTAGTGGCTGAGCAGTGGTCTTTGTTCCAGCTGTGTGCCCTGTGCACAGGGAGCTTTGCTTACTTCTTTAGGAACTAGAGGGGTCATGGTCTTGTGGTAGATGAGGAGGAGCCAGCTGAGGGAGGAGAGGGAGACCCTTAGCTGAGGAGCTGCAGGGCTGGGGAGCTGTAGGGCTGAGGCACCAACCCAGGGCAGCCACAGCTCAGGCCATCTTCCCCATCTCCCTGCCTCAGCATCTCCTAAGTCAACACAGTGATGGTTGTCCTAGAGAACATGCCTCTCTCCATTAGAGGAAGAAAAAGTCAAAAGTTCATAAACAATGGCAGGATTATTCTTAGAGGAACTGTCAATCAGCTTGGGGGAAAACGGACAAGCCCTAGAGAGTAACCATTTAGAAGCTAACAGGTATCCCATTATTTCACAGGTGGGACACCTGAGTCCCAGAAAGCAAGCATGACCCTTGCTGGGGCTCACAGAACTCCATCTTAGCATAAGAGATAAGAATGGCTTTTACTAATTTGCTTGATTGAGACACGATCTCCTTATAGAGTCTAGGCTGGCTTTGCTTCAAACTCTCCGTCCTCCTGCCTCAGCTTCCTGCTTGCTGGAATTACAGACATGCACTACTGCAGCTGGCTCTGTTTTTATTTTTTTAAACGATGTGGGGAAAAAAAAATAAAGTTGCAAGAACATTCCCCCAAACATGAAAGGTGCACAAAATGTAGGTGGCCCGAAAGCAAGCAGCTGGATGTTCAGTCATGCTCCTCCAGTTGCCCACAGCTGCTCCGTCTTGCTACTGTGCAGAGCTGAGCAAACGGGGCAGGTTGTGAGGCTCTCGTGGTTGAAGGTGCTTACTCTCTATAGAAAAAGGTGATGGCCTCGGGTACTGCTGGCTGTTGCTGGAGGTGCGTGTTGAACTGGGGGCTCCAGATCCTACCAGGATCTCTCCAGGGCTTAAGGTGGTGTTAGAGGCTGGGGGAGATCTGGGAGAGATTTCTTTCTATAGCAGCCACCCCAGGAAGGCTGCCTTTCATGACCTCAGTGGAAAGTCTAGATCTGTGGGCTCGGCAAGGGTGACAGGTACTCAGTACGGAGTAGCTCCAAAAGGTAGACGCCACTTGCCCTTCCTAGTCCTTTGGAAAACTTCTGGGTGCTACCTATATAGATGTAGCAGTTAGTACCCGGTACCCACATCAGGTAGCTCAAAATTGTCTGTAATTCCAGATCCAGGGTACACACACCTACATGGAGACACACACACCTACACATAAATAAAAATAATACAAGTAAATTTTTAAAGAAGTAATAGGACCCAGCTTTGGGCTGGTGCCGCTCCTTCAGATGAGAAGTGGTGTCGAGGCTCCAGGCATTCCGCACTGCGGACAGTGGGTGTTAAGTGCTAACTCCAGGTGGGGAAGAAAGTTCAGTCAGTAGAGTGCTGGGACATAAGTTCAGTCCCACCACGGAAGAGGCCAAGACGGCAGTTCTCCCCGGGACTCAGTGAACTAGGCCAGTGAGAGACCCTGCTCAGAGAGCAAGATGAGGAACGGCACCCAAAGCTGACTTCTGTGTGTCTACACACACGTACAGTGTGCACCTACAAACGTGCAAACACACAAACACACACACACACACACACACACACACACACACTATAGAATTTTAAATCTTTATCATTGAAAGGTTTTTTTTTGAAGATTTTCTTGTGTCTTTATTTTTAGTACTGTTACCAGCAGATATTTTTGTATGCCTTGAGAAATAGTGCAATATTTAAAAAAGGAAATAATTATTTCCTTTACCTTGAATTATTTCCTTTTCTTTCTTTCTTGCTTTCTTTCTTTCTTCCTTTCTTTTCTTTCTTCCTTCCTTCCTTCCTTCCTTCCTTCCTTCCTTCCTCCTTCCTTCCTTCCTCCTTCCTTCCTTCCTTCCTTCCTTCCTTCCTTCCTTCCTTCCTTTCTTCCTTTCTTTCTTTTTTTTTTTTTTCGAGACAGGGTTCCTCTGTGTAGTTTTGATTCCTGTCCTGGATCTCACTCTGTAGACCAGGCTGGCCTCGAACTCACAGAGATCCGCCTGGGTCTGCCTCCCGAGTGCTGGGATAAAGGTGTGTGGCACCACTGCCCGGAGAATTATTTCTTTTTACACACACACACACACACACACACACACACACACACACACACACACACAACTAGTTCATGTCTGTGCCTCCCTGATCACGAGACCAGGAATCAAAATAAAACCCAGCATCTGGCAAGTGGGAAATGGAAAAAAAAAAAAAAAAGAAAGAAAAAAAAAAGCCAAATTGGTTAATGTTTCATCTTTCCTGCTCTTCAAGCTATGTGGTAAAAGGGGGGGAAATTCCTGCAAGATGAAATGGAATTCTAGCCAACTAGAGCCTAAGCTGAGGGAATTGTCCCAGGAATTCCCAGCCCCTGGTGGCTGCTGGGCCAGCTGGGACTAGCCCAGCCAGATCTGGTTTGTGTTGGGTGACCAGAAGATTAAAAGGTTTCAGGTCTCCTGGTCCATGCCTTCTCAACTCCTGGTCAGGCCTGTCCTGTACTGGGGACAAGCCCACACTGCTAATTGCAGAGGCCCAGACCTAGGGGGAAAAACTTCCCGAGTCTTCCCGCCCCCGAGAGCATCAGTTTATGAAACCAGTGGGGCAGAAAAAAGTTCCCTTTCCATCTCTGCGCACGGCACTCAGGGGATGGCCGGTGATGCATGCCATGTGAAGTACTTAATTAAGCATGAATGAGAAACCCAGCCCAAGCCCCACAGGCCGTTTTGATGTTGGGGAGTGGGAGAGGCGAGGGAGACAGCAAAAGTTAATATGAGAGCAAACACTTGGGTCGTAATTAGAGGCGTGTGGGGACAGAGGTGGCTGGTGATTTGTTACGTTTCTCCGGCTCCAGGAGGAAGAGAGGAAGGGAAGAAGGAAGGAAGGAAGCAAGAACGAACAACTTCAAGAATTTTAATGGTTGTGATTAAGTTGAGCAGCTATGAATTGTTCAGGGACTTAATTTAACCTTACCCAAACAGGCTGCAAGTTGGTGCTTGCTCAGTCCCCTGAATGTGGACTGTTTCTGTGGTCAGGGCCACCGAGGCTCTTCCAGGTGTCAGGGTCACAGCGGTCTGGATTTTTCCAGCAGGGTTCTGGGGCTAGATGGTTGGCCTGGTCTGGGGTGGTCCTGAGACTGGGTCACAGAGTGGCATTAGTAACTTGTGAGGGGTCTGTGGATTGTAGTTCAGTTGGTAGAGTGCTTGCCTGACATACATGAAGCCCTGGGTTTGATTCCCTGCACTGCATGAACCCAGCTTGGTGGTACATGCCTGTAATCTCGGCATTTAGGAGAGCAAGACAATCAGGAGTTCAAGGTCATCCTTGGCTAGGTACTGAAATAAAGGTCAGCTTGGGCTACAGGAATAAATATCTACTAAGTGGTCACCAGGGACATCTGCCCTTTGTGCATGGGAACAGGTGCCTTTCGGCCAACTGAGTTCTCTTTCTTTTCCCCCCTCGAACAGATCTGTCCGATTCCACATTGTCTTACACTGAAACCGAGGCCACCAACTCCCTCATCACTGCTCCGGGTGAATTCTCAGGTTGGCATATTTCTTCTCACTCGCGGCTGTGGGCGGTACCAGTGGGGACCGATGTGGGTGCACTGATGGAAGGATTTTGATTTCTTGTGATTTTTGTGCTCTTATCCGCCCACTCTGTGAATGGGAAGATGGCCAGTGTGTGTGTGTGCGTGCGTGCGTGCGTGCGTGCGTGCGTGCGTACGTTTGGTGTTCTTGGAGTTAAGAACTGGGTGTGGTGTTGCATGCCTCTCAGCCCAGTACTCAGGAGGTTGAGGCAGGAGGAGGTGAAGGCCAGCTTGCGCTACAAAGCTGTGTGGTTTATGTGGGTAGAAACTTGAAGGTAATGACTTGCCAGATTTTAACCTGGTGTCTCTACCGTGTCTTTCTCATTCCCATGGCTTAGACAGGCCCCTCCATCATTGTAGCCAGGGACACTTCCCTGTAACTGGAGGCCTCAAGGTGGATGGGTCACAATAAGTTGTCTTCTCTCCGTGCCCAGGGGGAGGGCCCGTGGGTAAGCACATGGGATAGCTTGGGCAGACTGGCAAGGGAGGAGTTTCCTAAAAGCTGCTGGTGTCCATGCCCCGTACTTGGCAGTGGATGGCAGGCAGGAAGCAGGGGGTAGGAACCCCAGCTTTGGTGGTATTCCTGTCTGAAATTCCCAGTTGGTGGCCCTAAGTCCCCTCACATTCAGGGGAATTCTTGTGAGAGGGTGGTTAGGGGGAACGGACAGGAGGGCCAGGGACTTGTGTGGTGAGGTCTGTGCGGCCTTCTGGGAGCAAGGTGGGTAGGGTGTGCTGTGTGGCAGCTGGGCCTGTGGCCTGGGGGCAGGGGTGGCTTGCCGGGCCTCTGCTTCTTTTCCTGACTCCACACCCAAGCTATAAAAGCAAGGTAATGAGAATGAGTGGTCACCGAGAGCCAGGCCCCACCCCAGCACCTTCCATAGTCTCACTCATAGGTTTAGGGATTCCTGTGTCCCTCAGGGCCATACAGCAGCCTTCATGGCCACAGGAACCTTGCTGCTCAAGCCTGAGCGCCTTGTTACTGTCGTCCTACTCCCCACCCCCACCCCAGTCTGAGACAGTGCAGTGCAGCCTGATGAGTTCCCTCTCTCACTTCTCATCCTCCTGGTGATTCGAACAAGGTGACACAGTCGGCCTGCTCCCAGACACCTGTCCATTTCCCTAGCCTTGAGCTCTTCCCTGTCCGTCCCCTGGTCTTCCCACAGTCCAGGAGGAAACCTCAGGAGTATGGCTGTTTTAAGAGATGGAGACAGACAGCAAGACCCTACAGTGAGCTCATGGCTGCGATGGTACAGGAGTCCAGGTCTCCTGTCTGCTCTCTGGCCCCTGGCCCCCTAATCAGGCCGCTTGGCTCTCTCCTCTTCCTATTCGGTATATTCTCTCTCCCTCAAAGACCCAGCCCAGGTAGCTGTGTGTGGTGGCACACGCCTTTAAGCCCAGCACTCAGAAGGCAGAGGCAGGCGGATGTCTGTGATATAGACCAGCCTGGTCTGTAGTTCCAGCTAGCTGGGGATACATAGTGAGATCTGTCATAAAAACAAAAACAAAAACAAACAAAACTAACCACACACACACACACCATGACAAAACAAAAACAAAAACAAAACATGTTGAAGATCCAGCCAGGTGACATGAAGTTAGACCACAAACCATTCTTTCTCATCTGTCCATGCAAGCAGAAGCCACATGCGACTCTGAAACAGGGACTCTGATTTTTTTTTTTTTTTTTTTTTTTGCATTTATGATTCTGGGTTCCTGCCAGCTCTCATGGCGGTTGTTAGCTGGGTTGCCTTGGTGTGGATTGCAGGACAGATGGGCACTTGACGTCCTCTTTCCTTGTTAATCGTGGAAACTTGTGTGTGTGTGTTTCACAGTGTGTTTGCATTTGTGAGCTTCCTTGATTCCAGAGGAGGCCGGCCTGGTGCATGATTCCTGCTTAAAGGAGTAGACCTCAGCACACCTCCGCAGGTCTGCCCTCAACCTGGCCCCTGCAGAGAGCACCACCCCAGCATGTAGGGACTGTAGGCTGGACTGTGTTGGGGTGGCCTGTGCCGGGGATTTCTGCCCCGATGTCTCAGAGCTGAGTCTGTAGTACTGGGCAGTGAGGAGGCCATTGCTGGTCTTGACTGTCATGAAGAAAACGTGTCTAGTGGTTGGCATGCTGAGAGGCTGAAAGATGGGGGAAGAAAGTTTGGGGCCTCCCACATGGGAGGATGGGATGAGGTGGCGGTGGGCTTTGGGCTGGGCTCTGGACTGGGCTCCTGATGGCCTGAGTAAGCAAGTGGAACATTTTCTGTGTCCTCTTGGGCTTTGGGCTGTCACACTAAAGGAAAGACTCGGGGCAGGGGACCTTTGCAGGTGGGGAAAGGCCCCAGGAGGTAGCAGGCCTTGCTGGATAGTAGAGTCATGAGCACTTCATCCTGTGAGGATAGAGTGATGTTACACAGGAGCGAATCGAGGGATGTGAAGGCTGGGGACAGAGTGGGCACAGGGTGTGAGTCAAGCCGGTCCCAGATGGTCAGGGACCACTGGGGTGGTTACGGTGCTGGTGGTAATGTTGGTGGCCCTTGACCCTCACACTCAGATCAGTACTGGCTGTCCTTTATCTCCTTGACTCTGTTCTACCATCCAGTGAGACAGCTGGGATCCTTCCAAGTATCCCCACGGGGTCCCTTCTGGGACAGTACCCCAAAGCCCCATCAGAGACGGTCTCCTCTACACTACTTCCTCTCGCTGCTGAGTGGTCAGCCCCAGTGCCCAGATTGTACACAGGGAGGCTTGGGCAGAGCAAGTTGGCAGAGGCTTGGACAGCTTCAGTGCTAGGGCTGGGGTGAGGGCTCGCTGGCACAGGACTCATGCTTCTGTGCAGCCACTGAGCAAACCTGCCAGCCGACTGTGCCATCCTTCTGTGCTCCTGTGTCCTGAGGGCTTGGTGCCCCTGAGGGCCTGGTCTCTCTCACATCGCAGCATAGACGTCTTGCACGCAGTGATAGTCACAGCCTGGATGAACTTCCAATTTCTCTGCAACTCCTGTTCAGAGTCTCTCTGTTCTTCTTTCCTGTCCTGTGACTGAGGCCACATAAGGGAGCTGGCAGGATTGAGGGGTTAGTCACAGGCCTTGGCAGGCAAGGACCCATAAGGAACTGCAGGAAAGGGGGTGCTCCTGTAACTCTCACTTCACAGAGTGAGGTCTCTGGGGGTGCACTTGGAACTCTGGTGCTGTGGTTCCCTTGCTTCATTTGGATCTGGGGTACTGTCCCCTGGCTATCCAGAGTCCCCTTAGGTATTCCGTCTCACATGGGCTCTCAGTTGGGCTCTGTGATCTACATGGGGAAACTGAAGGTCAAAGGGCACAGGTGACCCCACCAAGGTCATTCAGGTGGGAGAGGTGGATGTGGACCATCAGCTAGATTCTGTAGACCCTCATACTCAGAGTCTTCGATGGGATTTGGGTAAAACCACTGGCCTTGAGGTCTCTTTGGGGAGTGTTCTTGGAGCTTTGGTCCATGGTTTCCCGGCTTCACTTGGGTCTGGAGTGCTGTCTCCTGGCTATCCAAAGTCCCATTAGGCATCTTCTTTACAGCACTAGCATTCCTCTCCCGTTCCCTTGACTTCACTTAATTTGAGGATGAAGTATGATGAGCTAAAGAAACTCACACCAAGGCTGTCCGGGCTGTGTGCTGGCTGTCCTGTGAACTCTAGTCACTTAATGAGATTCGAGGTGGTGAGCCTCTGAGCATTTAGGCCTGCCCAATCCCATGGTGGGAGCGCCTGGCTGGTATCTTTACCCCCACCGTCACCCTTTGGTGGATAATCAAGAGCCTATCCGATAATTGGCCCGATGTTTATTTAGTCCGACATTGTCTGTATGCCATATATGCTGCCTGTAGCGAGGACTAGGCAGTCCCTTCCGCTGGCCTTGACTGTGTGTCCTGCTGGCTTTTCAGCCTGAGCTGGATCAGTGAGGGCATACCCCTCCTTAGGAGGAGGCCATACTGCTGCAGTGGTTGGGGCTGGGCTGGATCTGGTGTGTACCTGATCAGAAGCTCCTTAGGGACCCAGGCCCTTCATTTGTACTTGCATTCTCCAAGCTAGCAGTTTGGAGACAGGCTCAGAGAGATGAAGAAACTGGCCGTGAACCACCCAGAAAGCACTGGTAGCTGGAGCTAAGTCAAAAAGTAGGTGGACCTGTGTCTTTGTCCACCTGCCTCCTGGTAGGAATGGTACCTGTCCTGTGGCCCTTGCCGCTCAGCTGGACACTGTTGGCTCACATCTTCAGGCACAGATGACAATGTCACTGTCTCTCCTTGATTGCTGGGATTACACAGGTTTTGTCTAGCATAGGCTATGTGTCTCTCTGTCCCTCAGGGCTCCACCAGCTTCAGCCAGCACACTTCTAGCCTTGCAGCAGTGGCAAGTAACAAGCAGGGGCTTCGTAACAGTTAGCTAGGTCTGGGCCGGGCAGTGGGGGCGCACGCCTTTAATCCCAGCACTCGGGAGGCAGAGCCAGGCGAATCTCTGTGAGTTCGAGGCCAGCCTGGGCTACAGAGTGAGATCCAGGACAGGCTCCAAAGCTACACAGAGAAACCCTGTCTTGAAAAGCCAAAACACACACACACACACACACACCCCAAAACAAAAAACAAAAAACAAACCAAAACAACAACAAAAAAAACCAGTTAGCTAGCTTGGGGTTCAAGTCCCTGCTCCTGATTAGTTGAGAGGGGTTGGCTGCTTAGCCACCCTGCCCCTCAGTTTTCCCACTTGTGGAATGGGGACAATAATAACATGCCCTTTAAAGAAGGTAACTGAGCCCCTGGTCAGTTACCTGTGTAGTCCTGGGCGAGATGTGTGGCTGTTAAGGGGTACCTGGCCAGGAGATGAGACCTGTATCTATTCTTCCCTCCAGGTGCCCATATCAGGTGCTGTGGGAGGAGGCAATTAGGAGCAGAAGAGGGGTACCCACGTGGGGTTTGAAAGGATGGCTGTAATTCTGTC